TTTTTTTTTTAATCCTAGTGCACCACCCAAAATTAATCTCTAGCTTTGGTAATGATTTAAATAAGCCTTCTCTGTTCTTCCTCGTTGTTGTTTTCAGTCTAATAAAAAAACCGGTGTATTTTGCCTAAGGTTGGAGTCAAAATCTGAGTAACAACTGGATTGTATTCTTTTTTTAAAAAAAGGAGGGTGGGGGTGGGGAGAATCAGGTATTACCTATTTGTCCTTAGGTGTAACCTTAAACCTCCATGACACCAAATAACCTTTATTAAGCAGAGCTTCAACTGGGTTTTTGCAACCTGGAACCTTCCAAATGTTTAGTTGGTAAACTACCAAAATTCTGAGCCAGAATCCCTTCGGGTAAAAATTATGAGGATTGAGTCCAGCAGATCTAGAGGGTGTCGGTTGGTCAAGGTGATCCTACAGGATCTGCAGACAGACCTGGGAGAAAAATTGCCAAGTGTGTCACATCTGAATTGCCCGTTTCCTTTTTTTTTTCTAGCATGGATGCAAACAGACAAAGTCTTGGGTTTGCCACTTAACATCATGTCGGTCTTGTTGTCCCCATCCATCGAAAGGTGCACTTTTTCCACTTTTCTTTCTTACCAAGGATGGGTCAAAAAAGTCAAGATGGTGGCTACATCCATGCCAGTAAAGCCCCACCCTTTTTTTGATGTGCATCACAACACATGTTTGAAAAGGGCAGGGTTTTGATGGTGTAACTGTGGACGCCATCTTGGTTTTTTTGACCCCCCCCCTCCCTTCAGGCACTCCTGCCATTTACCAACTGTGACAGTACTCTGTTTAGGATGACTGCCCCCTGCCTCAGGTCCCCTTTTCTAACCTCCTGCAGGTGATGGACATCATCAGGAATCTTGGAAGTGTGTTCACCCTTGGGTCCTCAGAAATATTTAGCCTTGAAACAACCATGATTGGATCTTTCAAAATTGTTTTGGGTCATTCATTCATGAGAGCTTGTTTGGAACACCCAGGAAACTGAAAGGTTTCTCCTAAATCTGGCCCTTTGCTTTAACTGAGATCCATGGTTTATCTAAGATAGTCTTTCCCAACTTTAGCAACAGATGGCTGGTTGGAGAATTCTGGGAATTGAAGCCCATCTTTGCTGGCTGGAGAATTCTGGGAGCTGAAGTCCACATG